CGACGGGGGTAGAGACAGTGGCGTGGTCAAATTAATCCCAACTGACTTGTTCCTCTCGTAGAATCCCGCCTGCCAGGTAGTAGTGCCAGACTTTTTTTCCAATAATTTTATTCAAGAAAAAGAAATAAATATAACGTTAGAAATAGGACTGTAGATAAGCATAGTACTGAACAAAGAATAATTAACATAAATCATAATTGTTGATATATAACAACAACAAGGCAAAAATAAATAATTAATTAAAACGTAATGCTCCCCACTTACCCAGATAGTTGGAGTCTGATAAGTGACATCCGAGCTGTTTTCCTTGTAGGATGTCATCCACCATGGAATTCTTGGGATCTTAAGCTTCAAATATCAAACACCAAGCCATCTTGAGTCTACATTTTATAAACCCCGGAGCAGCACAATTTTAGAATCACATTATATGGGCACAACAAGTCAATTTGTCGGATCTCGATTTTGAAAAAATCAGAGCTAGCTGAAATATCAAAGGGTTTGAGGGGCAACCAATACTTTCATACATGTAGTTACATGTATAAGAAGCCATTAAAAAAACGTTAGCTTTAAATTCCAAACTCCCACCCATAAATCCCGAATACTGAACTCAACTGTCTTCTTATGTCAACATATCAGGTGGTAATGGATATGCAGAAATGAGACTAGTATAGTCCAATTTTTACTAATGTATAATTATACATAACAATTTTTGCATTATACATAATTATACATAACCCTTTGGACCATTATATACTTTGGACATTATACATTTTGTACCTGGAAGCAATGAATTTAAAATGTTCACATACCTTTGAACTAGGTGCCAAATCTTTGGCAATTAAACCTGACATTACCAGCAGAAGTGCAACACCAAGTATGAACCACCAAGCTTTTGTAGCTGTCATCTTATTCCACAGCTCCACAGCATGATCTAAAATTCAAATTTGCAAAAAACTACATCAAAATTCCAACTTATGTTGCTATTGCCTGAAACTTTACATGGATTACAAACACATGTAGATTACAATGTGGATGGAAAGAAGTTGTAATTTTATTCCTTTGGCATCCATGGCAGCTTGTTTTTAATTTTTGTTGGAGAATATCTTTAAGAACTGCCAATCATGAAATTCTATGTATTTAATGATTTTGTACAATAATCATACATACATATATGCATTGGCCTTGTCAGCCACCAGCGAGCCTTGGGCCTGGAAATTAACTTTTCTTCCTATTGTCCCAGCACTGTCCCAAAAATAAATTTCAATTGTGCCAAAGTGAGGATGAACTGTCCCTACCTTTTTTTTGGGGGGGGGGAGTATTTTGTGACTTCAACTTAAAGTCAACTTTAGATTGCTTATGTTCACTCCCAGTTGCACTGTACTTGCAGAGTAGACAGGAAATTTGGGGGGGATGTTTGCCTGATAAACAAAAGAAGGGCTGACATTCTGATGTTGATAATTTTTCTATTGTCCCAACAATGTCCCAAAGTGTCTTTTTAGTTGTCCCAGCCTAAATTTTTGTGGTCAGTGGCCATTGGACCAACTTTGATTTCTAACCCTGGAGCGTGCATCGGAAGTGGAAAAGGCCCTTGGAAATCATCAGGACATACCTCTAAATTTCTGACAACAGCGAGGTGCAGGTGTAGCACTATCCTGGTCTGGGTTGCTCTGCTCGGCTGTGTAGGATGTGTCGGAGACTTGCCCATCATTCTGCTCTGGGAACACCACCACATGGTCGCCCATGTCAAGATATTGAGGTGCTGAAGTGCGTTCCGAGCCAGAGCCATGCGGGACACTTTCGCTGCCGTCATCTTCATCTGCATCTTCGTACTTTTCGTCATCTTGCTTTTTTGGAGGATTCTCTGCAAACTGGCGAGGCGGGGGTTCATCTGGCTTAGGGCGTTGCAACCCAGAGATCAGGACAATATCACACTCCAGAGCTACATCTTCATACTGTCTTGCTGGCAAGGGAGGTGGGACGTATCGCTTTTGAGGAGACTGCTCTGTATCGCTTCCTTTTGTTTCTGCAAATTGGCAAGGTGGGGGTTTATCTGGCTCAGGGCACTGCTGCCCAGAAATCAGGATATTTTCACACTCTGGGCCCACTTTTTCGTACTTCCTTCTGTCATCTTGCTTTTCTTGAGATTGTTCTTTATCACTGTCTTCTGCAAACTGGCAAGGTGGGGGTTCATCTGGTTTAGGGCGCTCCTGCCCAGAGATCAGTGTAATTTCACGCTCTGGGCCCACATTTTCATACTTCCTTCCATCATCTTGCTTTTCATGACACTGTTCTGTATCACTTCCTTCTGCAAACTGGCAAGGTGGGGGTTTATCTGGCTTAGGGTGTTGCTGCCCGGAGATCAGGATATTTTCACACTCTGGGCCCACAGTTTCGTACTTCCTTCCGTCATCTTGCTTATTTTCATGACACTGTTCTGTATCACTTCCTTCTGCAAATTGGCAAAGTGGGGGTTTGTCTGGCTTAGGGCGCTGCTGCCCAGAAATCAGGATATTTTCACACTCTGGGCCCACAGTTTCGTACTTCCTTCTGTCATCTTGCTTTTCATGACACTGCTCTATATCACTGCCTTCTGCAAATTGACGAGGTGGGGGTTTGTCTGGCTTAGGGCATTGCTGGATAATTTCCCCATGCAGATCCACATCTTTATACTTTCTTGTCGGCAACGGGGACGGAACATCTGTAGGTGGATTGTGTGATGTAACGTCATCTGATACTACACCACTGACTTCATATACGCAAATTGTAAATCACTTTACATTTGCGGTAGCAAAAGTTCACGGTCTGAGCAAAATTGACATTTTTGCAGAACTACAAAATGTATATGTTGATGCTGATGGCAGGTGCAAAAAAAAAAAGAATGTTTGTGCATAATTTGTTCACGGTAATGATAAGTTTGCGGTACAAAACCAGGAGTATAAAAGTTACTGCTAAAAAAATTGTGATTTAATACTTCAATGTAGATCCCACCCAGCATTTTGACCTCCTGACATGTGGCCATTCACTCTCACTGAAAATGTGGATTTCTTAAAAATTTCATCATTCAATGACACACAGTGAATCAGATATAATGACGGCACACTCAACTTATGTTCATGCTGCCACAGTGCAAACACTAAAGATATTTGCAGTATTTGCAAATTCAATACAGAATCTGTCAAATTATATATTCAGGCCTTAGAACAATTAAGTGTAAACTATACATTAAACTCAGCATATGTTGATTTATCCGTATCTGTACTTTTATGCATGTAAGATCATTTGTAGCCACTAGTAGGTATAGTTGGTAGAAATAAACCTAACATAAAAGTTAGTGTATTGTTGTTTGTTTATAATATTAAAAGAACCATAATTGTACGTGTGCAGACATAAATGTTTGCGACAGTGTTGAAAGAAACCATTCATGATCAAAAAAATAAAACAAAACTTGTAACAAGTAACTCAACCAAAATGTAAAATAAATTGCTAACACATACCTTGGTTAATTTTTGATGCAGACATCTTGGGTCTTGTATCAGGTGATTCACATTTTAGCTGATGCAACTAGCATGTTGTGAGAAAAGAACACCTTGCAATGTCCAAAACAGAAAAGAATGGCCTAGGATTCCCACAATGGAACAAGCCACAGCGAGACTAATGAGAATATATCACAAGCAACTTCTACATATTAGATTGAATATTGTAATTGAAAAAACATAGTTTGCCACACCCTCCCCAATACAAGCAGCCAATACCTGTGCTCCAACAAGAAGCTTATTATGCTCCATGTCTTCGCCAATACTTATTCATTGTTCCAAGCATGATGTCACAGAGCATAAACTCCAAATAAGGTGGTGTAAATAGCTACTTAGGGTGAAACAGTAGCAGACTAATTAAGAAAACGTGTATAAACATGCCTCAAAATGTCACCTTTTTTTTTATAAACATGCCTCGAAATGTCACCTTTTTTTTATAAACATGCCTTGAAATGTCACCTTTTTTTTATAAACATGCCTTGAAATGTCACCTTTTTTCTTTCTCTACACACTGTAGATATACAAACTAGCATAATAAGGTATTACAGGTATTTGAGTTGTTTTATCATTTATTGTTGTACACACCAGCACATGGACAATCATGATCTACAAAATTAATGTACATTAAAACAGCCATATTTTTATAGTATCCTTTAAGTTTACCAAAGGAAAACCTTCTTCTTCTCCAAACACAAAAGGTCAATGACCTGAACCAGACTGTCTGTTACCATGGTAACTAGTGTTGGGTTACATCATGTTGCAATTTTATAGCAGGAGGGATTTAGACTCCTGTCTGACCATACATGTTTATATGAATATGTTTGAGGAATAATTAACAGATCAGGTCATATGCAAAGATAAACATTATGCATTTGCTTTGCAAATGTTTTAATATCTATTTATTGAGAAATTGTAACATGACAATACAAAGTGTGCACTAGGCAGCAAGTATGTTAATATTACACTTACACCACATGTAACACAGAAACAACAATATTAATATTTTCCTACTTTAGGCCATGTTGATTTGATTATATGGATGACATCCTCCGGGAGCCCGAAAACTGATGCGCGCGTGCGAATAAAAAAAAAGTTTTGCAAAAAAAAAAGTTCTTTTCATTATGAAATCTGCGTGGTCATGAGGGTTGAGCAAATGGCACAGAATATGGTTTGGCGAATAATCTAGTCTTCAAGTTCATTTCTTTACATTTTCGTCTTTTTCGTTCGATTTAGGCATTCTACGACATTGGTATAGTTTTTAGTAATTTTTTTGTAACTTATGGTATATATTTGCTCATTTTGCAACTGTTTTGTACGATTTACAGTATGGTTGAAAACTTTTTTTTTTTTTTGGAAACGGCCGAAAATTCATGCGCGCGCGGATGTCATCCATATAATCAAATCAACATGGCCTTATATCAAATTTTGTTTAGCTTTTTGTGACCGACGTGTTTCTTATATTTGCAGATTGATTAATATCGGCCAGTTCCTGAATGGAGTAGCAGGCATCATGTTGATGGCAGCCCCCCCTCTTCTCTCCTCCACATGGTTTCCCCCAAACCAGCGCACCACCGCTACTGCCATCAGCTCCATATTTAACTACGTAGGAACGTCGGTGGGATACCTGATTGGTCCCCTGTTTGTGTCCCAGCCTCATCTCACACCCAACAGCACACTGCAGCACAATGAAAGTGAGATTTGGATTCAAATTTTCTGTGCAATTTTCAAAATAGATGAGGATGGGTCGTAATACTGGATATGTAAGAAATATGTGAGAAAGAAACACATAATCATTATCATTGTACATTGGTGCAGAAAAACTAAAAACAGTTGCTTGTACTTTCTTACATCTAGACAAGTATTGTAAAGTGTTACATTTTCAGTTAAAGATTTGTTTTTTTTAAGGATATGTCATAGATCTGATGTCTATCCTTCATTTGAGTAAAGTACCATACCTTTCCATACTTCCAGCTGCTGTTGAGGACATATCTGGCCAGATCATGAGGCTCATGTATGTTGGTAAGTTTTCTGTTTATTCATAACGCTTAACATGTCATACATTAGGCACATGTTTCAAGCATGTGGATAAAACTGTGTGATTGTTTGCAAGACAGATTTGATATGGACAGTGAACCAAGGATAGAGACACACAGAACACATTCAGCACCAAGGACAGGGTTGTAATGCCCATCCAGTGCATACTCATTTTATCCTACCTATTATATACAGTGTACATATACAGTACCCCTTACTGAATTTTTGTCTTTGCCCCTCAGAGTGTGGCTATTGTACTGCAGTGTTCCTGGCTATCCTGATATACTTCCCTTCCAAGCCCCCCACCCCACCCAGCCTGTCTGCTGCTATGGACCGACTGGACTTCAAAACTGGAGTTAAAAAACTCTTCAGGTAAGTTCCACTCAGGTACAGTTAAAAAAACTCTTAACTCTTAAAAAGTCTTGAATGTAATATTGTGTTGTTACAGAATTGTTACAGATAAATAGCACATGTGTGTACACATGTGTGTGTCTCTGTGTTTATGTGTATGTTCATGTATGTGTATGTATCTGTGCATGTATATGTGCATGTGTGTGTGTGTGTGTGTGTGTGTGTGTGTGTGTGTGTGTGTGTGTGTGTGTGTGTGTGTGTGTGTGTGTGTGTGTGTGTGTGTGTCCTTTTGTGTGCACATGTGTATGTGTTCATGTGATGTTTGTGTGTGTTAACAATGCAGCAAATTATGCAATAATGTCATATAATGTCAAGTCTGCCTTCCATCTTTGAATGCTTTTTGAATCACTTTAGATTTGTACCAAAAATGTATGAATACCGCCAACAAATAATTAGTCTGCTCTCCCCGCTACAAGGAACACCTCCAGACCATGACATTTTGCTACATACTGTCAACATAATGTGAATTATTGTAACAGTATTTCCGGATTTGTGTTTTATTCCCCAGACATGGTCAGTTCTGGCTGGTGTGTCTGGCCTACTGTGTACCAGGAGGGGTCATCGGGGGGTGGACAGCCGTCCTGGATGTCATCCTGTCTCCGCACGGGATCTCACAGGTAAACAATGTAATAAACAAACAAGAAATCATTACATACAAACATGTATACATGTAATATATATAGATTGCTTTATGTGAAAAGGAGAAAAGGAGTGAAGAAATAACTATTGTTGCTTTGATGTTTATTTCAGATTGATGCAGGCTGGCTTGGCTTCTATGGTAACATAGCAGGATGTGCGATGGGGCTACTTCTCGGAAGGTGAACAGTTAAACATGATAATATACCTTAGCTTTTAAACTTTAACTAGTGACTGGGGGCCAGGACATAGGATATCAACTACAGACTGCAAAGTTATATGGTGATCATAATAATAACAATAGCAGAAAATATTTTCATATGCTCGTGTGCGTATGCAATTTTTGTACAGTCAGGTATTTGCCTACATGTAAATTGGGTCTATGACTGATGCAAGTTGTGATGAAATGATGATGATGATTCATTCATAATTCTTTCTTTGTTTTTTTTAAATTTCCAGGTTTGCAGACTACTTTGCCGGCCACCTGAGGCTGATCATAGTTGTGATGATGCTGTGTGCCACAGGAGCGATGACATGGTTCACTATCATGCTGTACGGTGCCTTACCTCTCACTCAAGGTACAGGGCAACACTTACAAGTCCTTAACATACATAATTATGTAAGAAACAGATTTTTCTGAAGCAGTCTTCTGCTATTACTGTAAAGTATACTTAAAATTTCTTAACAATAGTCAATATCTTCGTGAATAGTTTCATCAGGTTGGTAAGACACTGAGTAAAGAGACTCTTTTTACACAACCAAGTCTTTTATTCAGCCAACGTTTTGGTGACCGTCTGTCACCTTCCTCAGGGCAATTCTGGTTCAAATTTTGCATTGCAATTGTTGAGTAAAAAGAGTCTCTTTACTCAACAGTCATTGTTTTTTCTCTATTAATAACTATCTGCTTTGTTAGTTTTGATACTATGCATAGGAAGCATCAGTTTTCATTTCTTGCTTATACTCCACATAATTATGCCTAATACATGTAATAGGGTGCAATAGCCAAGTGGATAGAGTCAGTATTCAACTACATTTGGTACATGTAGGTTATGAGTTCAATCCCTGGTCGAGACTTTAAAAATGATAGTACGTACTGCTTTCTCTGCTTAGCGCTCAGCATTTAGAAATGAGTATGGGAGTTAAGCACACACCACTACCAGTTGACTAGGCCCCTGCTGTAGTGATTGCACAACAGAGATGGGTGCTGTCCTCCCCATATATAGATTTGGGAAGGAACTTTTTTCAGACCCTGCCATTGTTTCTGTGTCCCCAGTGAGCCTGTACGTTTCCTTCATCCTGACGATGGTGAGTAACACTCCTGGCTAATCATTGGTTTACAGGAAAGTTCCAGCTAAATGCAGAAGTCTTGGTGGTGGAAAGAAGATGCCGGTGTACTCTTGTTTTGAATGACTGGAGGTTGTCAGTGATCAGTCCAACCACGTTCTGCCGACGTGCTATCTCTAGTCATTGTTAATTTGTTTTCCCAGTGAGCCTGTATGTTTCCTTCATCCTGACGATGGTGAGTGTGAACGCGAGTGTTCCCCTGTTCCTGGAGCTCGTCATGGAGACAACCTACCCTATAGAGGAGGCTGTCAGTGCTGGAGTCATCACCTGGGCAAACAACCTGTTCGCTCTCATCTTCCTTCTCGTGCCTCTTCTTCCCAAAGTCGGTACGTTTTTTTGCATGTTTTTTTTTTTCTTTTGCTGTGCCTACTTGACCATATGATCTGGTTAGCATCATGGAGAATGATTGTTAAGAAAGAGAGTCAGTGAGAGAGCAAGAGAGAGGGAGGGAGAGAGAGATGACATAAAGATGTGACAGGGCCTATTAACCGCATCCAAGCTTTCCTAAGGGGGTGCAGATCATAGAATTCAGCAAAAAAAGGAAATAGTTGGCGAGTCAGTCTGCGGGAAGGTTAATTTCCCCTAGCTGCACAGGCCAATGAACTGTAAGGTGGGCTTATTGGTGGCCAAACTTCCATGGGCAATTATTTTTGCTATTTGGCTAAATTTTACCATCTTCAAACTCCCATTATTATAATAGTCACAAGGACCTAATTCCTTGCACCTGTAGGTGTAACCTGGATGAACTGGGCTGCTCTCGGTGCGGTAGCATCTTCCATCCCTCTCCTGTGTATCTTCAGAGAGAACTACAGACGACTACATCTGGATACAGGAGCAGGAACAGTAACACACGACGACAGCAAACATGTCATCAATGATAGCAGTGTTATAGAAGAAAGAAAACCTTTACTAAATGCTGCTTAACAAGCACAATGAGAAATGCTGTGGACAAACAAAATTATAAATTTTAGCAATTTAGATAAAAATGAAGAAGAAAAGCATCTAAATGTTTGACAAGAAAGCCAGGTATGGCTGTGCATTAATTTATTTACAACATTATTACACAGAAGATACTGCAATGTTGCAGTATTGCAGTTCCCTGATGTTTTAAGAATGTCTTGTGTGTAAGATGTACTTTGCTGCTTTTTTAGCAAAAATATTTTAATGAGGACAGACTGAGTGATATTTTAAACTCAAAGATTATAATTGTTTGTCATACAATGTACAGTTAGACTGTATTTCACACAATTTTTGTGCAATGTTGACCTCATCTTGCCATGTTATAGATGGTTTATAGTAAAGGAGGAAAATTAAGTGTTGTCCAAAAACTGAGATTTATGTTTGCTGATTCAGAGTTGAATTGAGATTTGAAATGGTTGTAGCATAATTATCCAGGTATGTTTGACATACAAAATATTAAGGTCTACAGGCTTATTATGTATTGCATAGTGACCTTGTACAGTCATGTAGTAATTTAAAATTGAAACACGTGAGATAAAAATAATAGTAAAATAATGATGTTTTAGTAACGTTATCAGTTCCTAATGTCTTATACTGTGGAAACTGTGTCAGACCTTCAGGAATATCAGCCTCATGTCTTCAGGTAGTGAAGAATGATATGATGTGAAGACTCAGATTAAATTGAACACATTTTCAGGGACCTGTAAAACTGATTTACAGTGTATTGTGATGTGTCGTCTCTGTAGAACAGGATTGTTGTAAGCAAATGAACAAATGTAAAGATTTAAAAAGTTAAGTCTGTTCCAAGGGGTGAGTCGATAGGAGTGGTCAGTTTTTTTGGGGGGTCAAATTTAATGGGAATATTCTTGTCCTGTCATATTTATATAATGTCTGAGTTTGGGTCACTGCAGTCTCTGTGTGTGTTTAACTTAGTTGTGTTGAACAGGGTTTGGCTGTCCTTGGTCCACTCTGAGTCTTTGGTAGTTTCCACGCAGGAACATCAGCAGTGGCAGGGATAGCAGGAACGCTCCCAGAATGCACCACGTCATCCACAATGTGCCTTGTGAAAGAAAACATGAAGTTAGTGCTGTAACAGTCACTGAGGTGTTCAAGCTAAAGCACAAACATTGTGAATTCGAGGGGATTCATTCCTCAAGCTAACCGACATCTTTCACATGCAGTCGTCCCTCAGTAAGACATCTGGAGCCCCATAGTTCCCGTTAGAACTTTTATTCAGCCTGTCACACAAACATTGGCCAGTCTATCTGATCTGATCTGGAACTTTAAATCTTGTGGTAAGTGCATTGGATTTGTGAGCTGGCGGCTTGGATTCAAATCCCAGGAGCTAGAAGACAGCTACTCAAAGGGTACTACTTTTACCCTTTGCCTTTTACTGCCATAAGTTATGCATTATATCAAGGGAGATCACTTCAATGAACAAGTGGTCAAAATGATAGTGCTGCAGATTGACAATTTTTTTTTAATGAAAACCAAGTCTTAAATCATTTGGTAAATATTTTCATTGATGATTTGATTTCATTAACAACAATTAGTATTATCAATGTGATTGGCTGTTCCCTTACCTAACCAGGCTTCAAAATTGGTTGGAAATAGTAGAAATTGGCTAAATAGACAGAGGGAGTCGGTCTGCTAATAGCTAAGGGAGTACAGTTTGCAGCTTGCTCTGAGCAATAATAGGATTACTTGGCACCTATTAGATAGCAATTAGTGGACTTCAAAGAATAAAACAACCCCAGACAGGCTTAAGGGTGGCAACTTCCCTGGCATGTTATCTGTCTATTTGGCCAGTTTCTACTCTTTCCAGCCTCCTCTGAAGCCTGTTACAGGCCAGTATGTTCCCTCACCTACACCAGGAATCATGAGGATGTAGTGGAAGATTCCACCGAAGAAACAGTTGGACCAGACCAGGACTGTGGATGAGACAGCCTCCGGGATGGGGTAGGTTATTTCTGTTGCCATCTCATAGAACAATGGCACGGTGCCGTTCACGAATAACCCACTTAGTATGATGGACGCATACAGGGACACTGCAATACAATACAGTCTTTGAAATACTTTTTTTGCATTCCTGCATTGTATCTGTACAGCCGGTATAACCACCATTTGGCATAACTCACCAACCCCAGACAGACTTAAGGGTGCCACACTGTACACTCCTTTAGCAGACCAACTCTCCTGGCATGTTATCCCAGTCTATTTTGCCAATATCTACTCTTTCCAGCCTCCTCTGAAGCCTGGTAGAGGCTAGTACATTCCCTCACCTACACCAGGAATCATGGGAATGAGGAGGAAGATTCCAGCAAAGAAGCAGTTGGACCAGATCAGGACTGTAGATGAGACGGCCTCCGGGATTGGGTAGGTTATTTCTGCCGCCATCTCATAGAACAACGGCACAGCACCGTTCACGAATAACCCGCTTAGTATGATGGACACATACAGGGACACTGCAATACAATACAGTCTTTGAAATACTTTTTCTCCACATTAGCAATGATGCAGGTAACACCAACTGCCTGCCTGCACCAGACATGTGTTACCTGCACCACTCAGAATACATTTGTATTTTATAATACTAGATAAGTATGTATAAAGCCAATACATTGACTGGTACAGGTTAGGCGAAGGTAGACATCAGAAATACCTGCACAGCTCCAATTTTACCTGCACTAACCTGCATATACCCAGTACATGGACCAGTGCAGGTTAGGTGCAGGTAGACATCAGAAATACCTGCACAGCTCCAATTTTACCTGCACTAACCTGCATATACCCAGTACATGGACCAGTGCAGGTTAGGTGCAGGTAGACATCAGAAACACCTGCACAGCTCCAATTTTTATACCAGGTCCTGCACTAACCTACACATGCAGGTAGTATTTCCAGCCCTAAAATTCTACCTTTTTCCAAAAACAAAAAAGAGAAATCAAAAATAAGGAACCAACCTGTATTGAAGGGAATGACACCGTGCCACAGCATTAGCGTTAGCCAGGCTGTGGACAATGCAGCACCAATATACAACATGACTAGTATAGTCTTCATACGTCCTGCACAACGGTCACTCAACCTAGGGGAAAGTAAGCAACAGAAACTTTAAAAAACTAGAAAGAAAATGATACAAAACAGAAAAGTTACATTTGCAAAGAAAATGCATAATGTTTACCTTCGCATATGGTCTGCTCTGTTAATTTGTAACTCAAATCCATTCATATACATGTATATGGTCAGACAGGAGTCTAAATACCTCCTATAAAATTGCAACATTATGTAACCTAACACCAGTTACCATGGTGACAGACGTCAACAAATCAGATCATTTGCCAGGTCAGAGGTTAGTGTTTGGAACAGAAGAAGAAGAAATGTAGCAAAAACAATATGTTTTCCTTCAGTAAACATAATTATTTCAGTTTGAATTCTCTTTTGTTTGAATTAGCTATCACAGTGACTGAATAAAAAGTATAAGTTTAAAAAAGCTTCTAAATTTACTATAATATTTCAGCATCAAACTAAAAGTAAATCCATGAACTTCTTTATTTTATAGAAAGCCTACAATAAAAGCTTTGAGCATTGTAACTTTTTGGTTTGAATGGACAAGTATGACATTAAAAAAGCTTCTAGATTTACTGTAATATTCCATCAGCAAATTAAAAGTAAATGCATGAACTTGTTTTTATGTTTTATGTCTAAAATGAAAGTTTTGAGCATTGTAACTTTTGGGTTTCAGATCTCAATAATGAAGATGTGCGAACCAGGAGAAGAAGAGACTGGCGGAGCAACCAGATACCAGCATGTAGAACCCCAGCCACCCGGCTTCTATCTGTAATAACAGAGGTACGTAAACTCAATACACAGCAATGGTGTCAGAGGTTTCATATCACATACATGTTATATAGTAACTGTTGTTCCTTTACATTTTGTGTGCGTAACTTGTGTTATCCTGTACATGTGTGTGTGTATTTGTGTGTATGCATGTGTGTGTATGTGTGTGTGAGTTTCTTGTTACTTTACCCCAATAGCAATTGTACTGTATGTGTATGTGTATGTTAGCCTGTGTGCGTGTCTGTGTGTGTGTGTGTAGGGGGGGTATGTGTGTGTGGGGGAGGGTGTCTACAGTGTAGGTTAGCATTGAGGGCTGAAGTTTGCCCTCTGTTGTATATGTACCTTTCCTGATAAGAGTATAAAAATCCTATGTGTGTAACCCGTACGTGTGCATAACCAGCATGCATAAATAAATAGCAAAAAATAGTATGCACATGTAAGCACAATATGTGTACCTGATGTATGCCATGTGGTGAAAGGCTAACATCCAGGACCATCCCCCATCCTCCAAAAGCTCCATTCGTAATGCCGCTACAAAGTACTAACAGCAGGAGTTGTCCATTCCTTAAAAATAGCAGCTCAGGTGGTATTTGAGGTGACACAAAACAAATTAAAACAAATTAAAACAGAAGACAGGGACAGGGAAACACAGTCAGCACCAAGGACAGGGAAACGCAGTCAGTACCAGGGACAGGGAAACACAGTCAGCACCAAGGACAGGGAAACACAGTCAGAACCAAGGACAGGGAAACACAGTCAGCACCAAGGACAGGGAAACACAATCAGCACCAAGGACAGGGTAACACAGTCAGCACCAAGGGCAGGGAAACACAGTCAGCACCAGGGACAGGGAACACAGTCAGCACCAAGGACAGAGACAGAGGACAGAGAAGTATTAATCTTTGTCAACGTAGGAAGATGGAAGTAAAAGATATATGCTTACCTAATGACAGGTAGAAAGCTTTCCTTGAGGTTTATTCTCTCCGTGGATGCAGATGTACTGGGTGGGGTCGCTGGTTTGGACGGAAAGTACAAAACCACGGCAAGACAGAGCAGCCCAGCAAAACCTGTCTCTGTAATTACAGAATGAAGTTATACATTAATGTCATTTTAAAACTTGGTGCAATGTATCAAAAGGCAGAAAGTATCACTAATTATGTTTACCGAAGGAAAACATGTTGTTTTTGCTCAGTTTCTTCCTCTTCTTCATCTTCTCCAAACAGTGACCTCTGACCTGACCAGTGACATGATTTGTTGACGCCTGTCACCATGGTGACTGGTGTTGGGTTACATAATGTTGCAATTTCATGGTCTGCTCTGCTCTTGTCACCATATACTTGTAGTACATGTATCTGAATGTGTTTGAGTAAGAATAAACAGAGCAGACCATGTCCGAAGGTAAACATTATGCATTTGCTTTGCAAATGTTACTTATCTAGTTGTCACATGTATTCGCTTGATATATAACGTTACTTACCAATGTACATGAGTCTCAAGATCTGCTCCGCGTTCATTTGAACAAAACAAGGATCTGTAAAGAACTGTGTCTTATTATTTTAGCAAAGCACATGGCATATGCATATCTAATTTCCAAGAAGATGTTTGGTTGTATTCTACTGCACTACCAGAAAGACGTAAACACACAAAAAATGCACAAAACAAGTCGGCTGCTTGTAACTTTCACGAAATCGTCAGCATAAAGATACTAATATTTGAGTACGTCATTCTGGCTTACCTGTGCCGTTATCCTCTGGGTGACACCTACATCATTCGTATAAAAAAAGATAAAATATCATCAGATGAAGACAAGCTGTCTATTTTCCCCAACATTATGGCGAACATTTACAAGGAGAAATACGTTCTTAAGCTTAGCGAAAGACGTTTGACAATATGTTAGTTTTCTCGTGCCATTCCTAAATGCTGTATAGTTCCTGAATACAGAAAATGTATAGTATCTATAGTGCATGTATATCGTCACAACTGAAAAGTTCCAACTTTAAATCATATTTTTGTAGATTCTATCTATAACTTCTTTGTTAACATAATTTCGTCAGATAAAGCGAAGAGGTAGTGGCTTCTAAACAAACCCGTTAACCAGATTTCCGGCGGTCTGATTGGTGGAGTTAGTCGGTTGCGTCACCACCAACGGACCAATCACAAACGCCACAGCATAGCCCATGTAACTGATGAAGACATTTATACCTGTGAAAGATATAAAACACATCGGAGAACTCCATAAATGATACACTTAAAGAGGTGGGTCGCTAGGACACAAGGACAGAATTGTTCTATGTATGCAGTTGATATGTTATCAGTACTTCTAAAAATACAAAAAAGCCTGCTGTTAATGTCACAGTTGGATGTAGATAAGCGACATTTATCTATTTTTATATGTAACTCCATACCATAGGATGAAATACAAGAGATAAAGGAGATCTAAACGTGACGAATTTTGTCTCACCTGTCGCCAAAGTTCTCTGTTCTGGAGGGAACCAAACAGACGACACTACGGGGGGTGCAGCCATAGTGATGATACCTGCCAGTCCGTCCAGGAACTGTCCAGTATGTATCAACCTAAGGTACATGTGTGTATAGTTCATCAGGTATATTGTCAAGATTTGAAGAATAAATATGTTTATGCATGGTTTATGCATGGTAGACTAGCCAAGGTTCACAGAGCCCAGGTTAATTTTGTGCACGTGACCTACGTTGTCTACTATCCAATACGATTCAAACGTTACTATGGTATTAACAACCTTGCCCATCTAGATCTATGTCTGAGTGGGTTAAGGTTAGGATCAGGCACGGGTCTGGATAGTCTCCATGTGTACAAGAGTATAGATTTTGATAAGAGTGGACTATTCAAAACCGTACCTGAGCAGGGTTCTGTATACCGCACTGTTCTGTATGTAGGACGATTCTAGATACGAGTGGACTATCCAGAACCGTGCGTGAGTATGGTTCTGGATAAAGCACTGTTCTGGATAGAGCATGGTTCTGGATAAAGCATAGTTCTGGATAAAGCATGGTTCTGGATAAAGCATGGTTCTGGATAAAGTATGGTTCTGGATAAAGCATGGTTCTGGATAAAACACGATTCTAGATAAAGCATGGTTCTGGATAAATCATGGTTCTGGATAATGCATTGTTCTGGATAAAGCATGGTTCTGGATAATGCACGGTTCTGGATAAAACAGTTACCATGTCGCGGCAGGCGTTCTCGTCGTGATGCATCTCAAACCGGATCCAGCCAGAACCAGAACGGCCGTCCCGACCATTGTAACCCTTAGTCCTGCAAGAAGGTCATGTATCAAAACAAACACCTGTGAAAACAGCGCGAGGGCTACGGGGTGTAGACGCGATGTATGACTCTCTCTCTCTCGGAAAGACTCAAACCTCAAACCAACCATGCCCATTACAACCTGACCAAGGTCATGCCGAAACACGCACACACACATACACACATACATACACGCGCGCACACACACACGCACACACACACACCACACACACACACACACACACACACACACACACACACACACACCAAAAACAATACCTCCATTTTTCATGGAGGTAACAAGTGTAATGTTTACCTAGCGATTGAATGACCCATGGGCCGACCAAAGCCAGACCGACAAACGTTATACTGCCCCAGTTGCTGAGTAGCGAGATATCTCCGTCCTTCCAACCGAACACCAGCTTAGCTGAGTCCGAGATGGGCGACCAGGTGTTTAACACCACCGACTGGTCAAAACACACCAGCGAGAACAGCACAAGGATGTACCACCTCCGCTTGTACACCCGCCATTGTCCGTGTGAAGTTTTCGCGTTGACGGCGTAGCTGTTGGTTGTCATCCCAGACGCGTAGGAATCAGTTCTGATCCTGTTCAGAAGCGGATCGTACTCCGTTGCGGACGATGTCCGTCTGTCGCGACTTCTTGTGTCCATGGCAGGCAATATCCCGTCCACAGTGTACAGCAATTTCTTTATCACCAGTAGATATGTACTAGGTAACTTGTCCCGTGAACATGTTGTAAGGTGTAGTCACATGTCCGTACATTGTACCTTGGGCTACCCCTTCTGACCTTTGACGTGCTTAAATAAACTATTATAGATCTACAAACATATCTGCAAGCCTAACGTCCAAAGTCCACCGTTTGTTGAGCGGTGAACCTCTGGGCGATAACTTTATCAGCGCCCGCAAGCAATAAAATCATAGAAAATGTTCATCATATCCTTGCGAAACATTTTACGTGTTCCTAGCTCCTTCTTTAGTCAGAACTGAGGTGATTTTAATCCCTTCTAACCTCTGTTTATGACCCTATTAGTGTTGGGGTCTCCAGAGGATGCTATCCATTAGATTAGTGAATGTGGCCTCATATGATTAAACACGTATGAACATCTATAGCTAAAATACTTATTCTAAATTTTAGGGCCTAGGGACGATTCCTCGGCCCTAGTTCCCATCAGTTATCTTAATTTTTAGGGCTTTTGATGGGCTAATGTCTTTCATGCAGCAGTCGTCCGTCAGTAACACCTCTGGGGCCGCAGAGTTGCCGTTTAGCACTTTTATTCATAACGTTATATATAAACGTGGCGACGGCAAAAATATAGTGTTCTTTAGAATAGTGTTCTTTAGAATAGTGTTCTTTAGAATAGTATTTTTTAGAATAGTGTTCTTTAGAATAGTGTTCTTTAGAATAGTATTCTTTAGAATAGTATTCTTTAGAATAGTATTCTTTAGAATAGTGTTCTTTAGAATAGTGTTCTTTAGAATAGTATTCTTTAGAATAATATTCTTTAGAATAGTGATCTTTAACCTACAGTGTTCTTTAGAAAACGTCTCTTCTATACCAGTTTACGATGCCTTTCTTGTCCAGATGGTCCCATAACTGGATCTCCCGTATGTGGTTGTGACTATTCATCACAGATAGGAACTCGTGATACTCTGTGTCGAAGTAGTGGTTGCTGTACTTGATGTTGTAGCCCATCCCGTACAGACTGAGCTTGTCACAGGCGTGCAGGGCCGTCATGGTCATGATGCCGCCCGTGGTGGGACGAAAAGACCAGACCCTCATCCACCTAGTGAAAAAAAGAATATTACGAAGTAAGCTTAAACTGTAATTTTGAACACAAAGAATTGGACTTACCCTGTGGTGTGTTACATCGAAGGGCGGTTATATCAGCTATACCTGTATCTGTATAGCCGGTATAACCGTACGCCCTTCGGCACAACACACCAGCTGCGTAATACACCATGGCACCAGCTACTAGTATACCGATACCGATAGTATACCGATATCCAAATTTTCTGCACTTCATAGGGAAAGAATGAAGAGGAAGAAGTGTGTGACTTACACATAATGCATGTATCTCATGAAGTCAGGATGGAGAACTCGTACGTTCTCTGGAGGCGCTTTGAACTGGTTGATGCCGTCCCCTATTCCCTTAAGATACGCATAGTCGTTTTTACGGCAAGGCACGAATATATACGTGATATTCTGAAAGTAAAAAAAAAACAAAGATTGTTGAGTGTTGAGCAGGGAAACACAGTCAGCACCAAGGACAGGGAAACACAGTCAGCACAAAGGACAGGGAAACACAGTCAGCACAAAGGACAGGGAAACACAGTCAGCACCAGGGACAGGGAAACACAGTCAGCACCAGGGATAGGGAAACACAGTCAGCACCAAGGACAGGGAAAAACCACGAAGGACAGGGAAACAAAGTCAGCACCAGGTACAAAGAAACACAGTCAGCACCAAAATACAGGGAAACACAGTCAGCACCAGGGACAGGGAAACACAGTCAGCACCGGGGACAGGGAAACACAGTCAGCACCAAGGACAGGTAAAAACAGCACCAAGGACCAGGTACGATAGCACCAGGTACAGGTACGGTAGCACCGGTACAAAGAAACACAGTCAGCACCAATGACAAGTGTTTTAAGGTGAAATAAAGTTCCAAGCCCTTAGTTCTTAACCCTCAACAGTACACCTTCCCGGACTGATTAATCTGTACACCTGGGGTCCGCGCGGACCCCAGAACAGTTTTTTTGCTAATTTTTAGAAATTATCAACATGCTACCAGCTCAATTGTTTTCCAAACTGATGTGGGAACCTTTGTGTCCACATTACATACAAAAATCAAACATTTTGAACTTTTTCTATTTTTTGGTGAAGAAAAGAAGACAAGAAGAAATACCCGATTTTTAAACCCATTTCAGACTGAAGTGGCTTTTTAGGCCCAACTTTGATCTCAGATAGCGGCTAAACGGCTTGCGCTAGAAGTATCAAACTTGGAGACCTTTCCTAAAATGTCTCTGGAAAAAAGTTCATATTAGTTTAATACTAGTAAGTTGATGTTTTTTGTGTTGCCATGGCAACGGGTTTCTAGCAGGCAGTTTTTTTTTAAAATAGAAGTAATTTTGGTTTACACATGAAAATTTTCTGAGTTTTATATTAAATTACACTTCTTTTCCATCATTAATAACATCTTACATAATTAGATATAAGTTAAATCATTTAATATGCATAGAATATGCTAATTTGATGACGTCATTGGTCAAAATCCAATATGGCGGACTATATTATTAGCTCTGACGTCATATGACGTCATAATTACACCAAAGTTATTAAAATTTAATTCTATCACTACACCATTCTCTGAAAACTTGGTAGACATACGATGAGCGCATAAAAACATATAAAAACGGAAATAAGGTAATGTATAAGAACGCCAGTGTATCCATTATGATCGAAAGCCGGCTGGGGTCCGCGCGGACCCCAAAAGAAAATCAGATATAATTTTTTTATAAATGGTAGAAACGGAGTTTTCTGCACTGTGTTGAGAGACAACTTTGTGGGTGACAATTACTTAAAATTTCAGAAAAAAATTTTTAGAAACAAAAAAGATATTACAGAATATATAGTGCTGGGGTCCGCGCGGACCCCAGGTGTACTGTTTAGGGTTAAACTGACCTTACTAACAGGATAGTCCTCTGGCCTCATTGAAGAGAGGGAGCGATCGAAGAACACGTAGTGAGTTGTCCTGCTGCCCACGTCTTTCTCATAGCCTCTTGTGTATGCCTGGTTCACCCTTTAGAACGGAATTTCAATGACGGTTTGTCATATTCATCATGGTAATCATGGCCTTTTCACTGTACACTGAAGCTAGGCGTTAAACGCGTTACTGATAGACCTTTTTTCGAAAGGTGTGGTGGGTTCTTTAACATGCGTGGTGCATGGCCCTCCCAAACACGGAACCTCAATTCAACGTCCCATCCGAGGGACGTCCCTAACCGAAGCTAGGTACTCATTTTAACCTGAGAGAAGTGAGGAAAGTCGTGTAAAGTGCCTTTCCAAAGGGCACAACGCCGGGGCATGTAGGTGGAATCGAACCCAGGACCCTTAGGTTATGGTCCATATACCATACCATTACGCCACACGACGCCACTGTTTTTTGGCGACGCCCCAGGGGCGGGGACATTTGTTGCTCTACCTGAATACGTAGTCGTGCATGTCGATTTCCTTCCCCATGCCGGATCCATTCAGCATACCTCCATTCCCAACCACCGCACACGAGATGCATCTCGGCTTGCCTGTGTGGCGGAAGTTGAAGATGGAATCTTCCGCTGGGAACAATTTCAGGATCTCCAGGATCTCTGGAAGTTGGAAGAAGAACAAACAATATCTGGGGTATCATCTGCACGTATCATCTGAATCATAACGATATCTTGCCGTAACTTTATCGGGCTGATTTTAACGAAGGTGTTCAAAATAGAACAGGGACTTCGATGTGTTCGATCCGGATCGGTCGATTTTTTTACGCATAATTTTTTCACAAGCAAGATGATAAACAACAAATCATGTTTTGTTGTTTATGAAAAATTGGGCAACCATCATCTTGCAAACAACAAAGAGAATGCCAAATATACCCTACATTGTTTTTAAACCAGAGCCTTTTCTTACCACTATATGGGATGTCTTCTTTCCTGTACTTGTACCCGTATGGCATCCTCCATGGTTTCAGTCGCAAATGTTCACTCTCATTAAACAACTTGGTGTTCATCAACATCTGAATATCAGGTCGAAAGATCGGCCCAAACTCCTCAGACGCAAAAGCCTTCTTCTGTAGAGATGTGTTACATGTCTGGAAGTGTCAAAGCGAGTAGAGTCAAGATTATTCAAATTGAGCACTGAGATCAAAGGACAACTTCGCGCAGTTTAGCTGCAGAACGTCTGCAAGAATAGTGTTTTACCTTTTATAGTAAAAGGTTGAACTTTATTCCAACACACAATATGTACACGGATCAAATTTTCAGCGACCACTGTCGCCTTCATCAGGATAATTAATGACCAATCACTTCACAACGTGATCTCGCGAGAATTACGGTTTACAAACACGTGACCTTATTCACACGAGACTTTACTGATACGTGACGTAAGCAATTGATCAAAAGTGCCAGGGAGTTTATATCGTCCACCATCTCTATTAAGTGAAGGCTGAAGTGCTCTGATATATATGGCCTCCTTAATGCCTCTTAAAAAGTAGTCCTGTTCAGTGTCCAGTATTCTCACTTTGTCCAAAGAGACGGAGTGGCTATGAATATGATCCGTGTAGACATTGTGTGTTGGAATAAAGTTCAACCTTTTACTATGATTACTACCAACACAGATAAACTTTCATGTTTTACCTTTTATTGTCGAGCTGCTGAACCGTTCTTTATAAATTTTAATGTGTATCATGCCCCAATTCAGCCATGTAAGGTTGCAATGGCATGTGTGTTGTTTATAATAATTAAAAAAGTTCATGCTTCATGCAAGATTATTTAGTACGTCCAGAAGTTTCAAGTCACGTGACTATGACGTAAGTGTTGTCCGCCATGATGGGTGATTAAATTTAGTCAAACACGTCGACAGAACGCACTGCGCCTGCGCGAAACCTGGAAATTTTTCACGGTTTTCGTTGGGTGTTTGTTCAATGTTGCATCAGAATTTTGCCCGTTGCAGACGATATGTTTTCTGACACAGCATTTCAAAACTAGAGACGGAATGTCTTCCTTAAATGCGCGAATACCTTAAACGAGACGTTCTGTCGAATTGCTGTGCACAATTACATTATTGTTGTCGCGCAGGTGCAGTACGTTCTATCGATGTGCTTAAATTTCTATAAATAGTAAATTTGAATCTTTAGATGTAGTTACAGTCTCTTACGCAACAATCACTTAATACAAATCAATTCTGACCGTTGGTTATCTCTAACATTTCGACTCTGTACAATGATCATTTCACTTTCTTTTGAAAACCATGATACTTTTCTTGTGACTCACAGAGTTGTTCCAGTTTGGGTTTTGCCTGAAGGTGAAAAAGTCTTTCCAGTAGCTCTCTACTCTGCTGCCTTTGTCGTAGGGCATGCTGAACAGCGTACCCAACCGAGGCTCGGGTTGGGGGTCAAACCTCAGATCACGTCCAGTGTCAGCAGTGGTAGAGTTGTTAACAAGGGCTCTTTCTGGTGTTCTGGTATAATGGCAATTAGTAAATGACATGCCATGCGATATATTTTTACTATTGGTACCAAAACTAACTCGAAGTGGACGTAATACGACCACATGGTGGAAGAAATAGAAAAAGACAACGAATCTAAAGATACATACTTAGACAAGACGCTGACATATTCAGTTGTTGTTTCTACTGCTTGGTGATAAACTCGTGACTTGGGTTGGGTGTAAAACTTTAGATCAAGTCCAGTTTCGGCAGTTGTAGAATTAACAGCCAGGGCTCTGTTTTCTGTTCTGATATAACGACAATTCACATGCATGCGATGATATTTTGACCATTATTTAGAAAAGGAAGTTGACGTAATGCGACCACATGGTGGAAGAAATGGATCAAGACAACAAAATAGATGAAAAGACGCATGTATATATATTAGTGAAGTATTAAAGGAGCTATGGTGGACCAAAGCAACATTTACCTAATTTTATTTCAAACAGACGATGTGACAGATGCAGTCGTATATAAGATACATACTTAGGCAAGACACCGACATCTTCAACTGTTGTTTCTTCTGCTCTATGGTAACTTCGAACAGCCAGCGAGTTGGTCCTCCATACAAGATAGATCAGCATCAAGACACCTCCAGCGATAACCGCCATTGTAGCACGTTTCAACATATTGGCAGATTCTAAGACATTATTTCAATCAACGAAGAGACATCAGTGCAATTGCAGACTTTCAACTGTACGCTGTACATATATATCTATTATCTAAAAGTCCGGCAATGTTTAGAACTGCGCTTCTTGAAGGTAATAACAGTACCGTGCGCACACGACACCAATCGATCGTTAAGTTAAATGTATTCAGTAATATGATATGTGATATAAATGTACGGCTTTATTTATTTTATTCACATGGATTTTGAGCATTAGATAGGAAGCACATGTTGTGCTTATGTGAATCCGCTGCTCATAAAACATAATACAAATGTAAACATAAAGATGAAATAAAATACAACATAAACATAAAATGAAAGTGGTTGGCGCACCAATACCTATAGCATAGCATTAATGAGATTAGTCAAATCTTCCAGAGTGATGAATATAGTTGAGCACAATATCAAAGATACAGCAGTTAGTAGGCTTAGTCATAGACATAAAATATATAGAGAGGACAAAGACAGCTGGCAATCGAGAAGTGACTAAGAACAGGACAATTGTTCAGAATGGTCAAGTATGAATCAGAATCGGCAGTAGTTTGTAGACGAAGACAGCAAGGTTGGTTCATTTATATATCAGGTATTCATATTTACGTATTGCCATTTCTAGGGACCTGTGCATGTCTGCTTTCGCCATGCCCCATCAGTTCCTGGTGCCTGTGGACGATTTGTTTACGTTTTCGTACGTTTTGTTTACGGAACTTCCTTCACGACATTAATCCGTAAACAGTAGAACAGACCTGTCTATCCAGGGCAACTCTCTGAATTACCGTGACAGCTCGGATTTAGCTTATTCAGTTTACTTTGACAGATAGGTTGTTAGAAAAAGAGACTACGGGATTCGTACGGGAAAGCAGCCCTACATCGGTCTTAGGATTTGATGGTACCAGGCTACAGCAATATTTTTGTATTATATCGGGATCTTATCTAGGTCTATGCCTGAATGGGTTAAAGTAAGGGTCAGGCACGGTTCTGGATGGTCTCTGTGTATCCAAGCACTATCCAGAACCGTGCCTGAGACTGTACCATGTGTAGAAGAACAGATGCGCAGCACATACAGTTCAGCAAGACTTTGGAACTACTCGCCTTCTATAACATAGTATAAGGTGCACTGGGGCACGTAAATAGAAAGATTATAACCAAATAACAAAATAACGTCACCTTTAAGTTGCTTTTGGCAGCACTCTTTCGAGCCCTACAAAGAAGACACAGGTAGTTGAGGATGGGTTGTGCGTTTGATAATTGTACGTGGCACATCTGTGACCTACTGAAGTCGTGTTTTGGTTTATGACGTCGCTTCATGATTACCTACGTCCGTGCCACATTCTAGAAACGTACACAAACACGGATTTCGTCCACACTTTTCCTGTTACCTTCGTCGAGGAGGTTGTGTGTTAGGTATACCATATATGGGGGTTGCAACTTTGTAATCGATTATTTTCATATTTGTGATATCTGATGATATTTGATATTTATGACATTTGATGGGTACATGGTACATGCAGGTTGGGCTAACAAAGGTCAATTAGGGTCAGTTATCCAGCGGATTTGTACGGTACTGCAGCGGTGGGATATTTTCGTAATTTACGCATCTTTAAACAATTAACCTGATATAATTGAAAGTTTATTGCAAATACATGCCCGAGGGCTAATTGCAGTTACAAACAACATAAGAAAGAAAATACAATGGTATGTGAGACTATATCTACTTTTAGCATTATACTATATACTACAACAGACATGGTACATGATATGGTCACAACCGAGTACCTCTGTTCTTTCACCCCAGTCCGATCTATCAATAGTAGTGTACCCACGGTCCGTTGTATTTTTCCGGATCCCTTCCGTACATCCATCCAACCTATTCCATTGTAGATCTATTGTTGATATACAGTAGTCAATCGACAACCATACACTAAGATCCGGGTGTTTCTGAGGTCAATAAGAGGACACCATTCGAACGAATTCAGAAATATCAGGCCATCTAGCAGTTTGATCTAGAACTGCAGGGACGTTTTGTTAAAATTCCTGTAAGTCAGATGCCTTGAGTTGGAGAATAGTTTAATTATCGCTATAGATATGCTTTTTAGTGCCATATCGGAAATAAAGATGGTATAAACTAATAACCTTAATAGCACAGTTTAGAACAGATCTGCGAACATAGATCCCGCCGCACTTATCGAAAAGATTAGGGGTCCTTCCCGGTATGAGTACTAGTAGTTCAAACCGGTGTGTTACGCCTATTGTCGGTTAACCGTCAGGTTATATCAAGTCATCATCATCCTCGTCCAGGCTGGCCGCCGCTGCAGTCTTGCAGACGACACCAGAGTCGTGGATGTGTCTGCACCATGGCACCCTACCTGTAAATATTTTAGATTCATTGAGGCAATCTGTCGATTGACACCTGATTGCAACTTGTATCAATGACCCTTCTATGAATGATTTATGTTGTGCACAAGCATCAGAATTCTGCCTTGCTGTTGCTGATTTTGCCTGCTGTTGTCGATGCAAATAAACCAATTAACAAACTAGAAAGGTAATATTTGCAAAGCAAATGCATAATGTTTACCTTTGCATATGGTCTGATCTGTTAATTCTTACCCAAACACATTCATATATATGGTGACAGGAGTCTCAATCCTTGCTACTATAAAATTGCCACTTTATGTAGCCAAACACCAGTTACCATGGTGAGGGACAGTCTGGTTTAGGTCATTGACCAGGTCAGAGGTCAGTGTTTGGAACGGAAGAAGAAGAAACAGAGCAAAATAATATGTTTCCTTCGGTAGAAACATAATAAACAAACAAACCTACCCCAGCCGCCGTGCTTGCAGTCTGTGAGGCGCTCCTCGGTCCCGGTACATCCCAGGGTGTCCAGCCAGATCCGGCCCGTGCCTTGGCCGAAATGGGCGCTGTAGGATGGATGGATGGATGGATGGATGCATGGATGCATGCATGGATGGATGGATAAATGAATGGATAGATGGATGAATGGAAGAATGAAGGGATGGATGAACGAAATAATGAATGAATGAATTATGAATTATGTTAAATTCTCAGAATAACGTTAAACCATTGAGTACTTTGTCGACTACGTTTAATAGTTTTACGTTTTAAAACTTGACAGGCCTTACGAATAAGTCTCTCTGACGGCCTCCGGGTAGCCCAGCTGCCGGCACGCCACGTGGGCGTCCTCCAGGCTCCAGCCCGAGTGGCACACCGTCCCCCACTCCCCGGCATGGAACACCTCCACTCGGCCCTCGTGGGGACCGCTGCCGCCCACCAGACGCAGGTCTGAGGACACACAATTTTGAATGAATGAATGAATGAATGAAGGATGGATGGATGGATAGAAGAAAGGAAGGAAGGATGATTGGATGGATGGATGTATGGAAGAAAGGGAGGATGGATGGATGGATAGAAGGAAGGAAGGATGATTGGATGGATGGATGGATGGAAGAAAGGGAGGATGGATGGATGGATGGATGGATGGATGGATGGATAGAAGAAAGGAAGGAAGGATGATTGGATGGATGGAAGGAAGAAGGATGATTGGATGGAAGAAAGGAATGGATGGAAGGATGGATGGATGGAAGAAAGGAAAGAAGAAAGGAAGGATGGACGGATGGAAGGAAGGAAGGAAGGATGGATGGATGGAAGAAGGGAGGGAAGCAGGAAGGAAGGAAGGAAGGGATTTTTTAATTAATGAAGGAAGGAAGGGAGGGAGGGAGGACGGGAGGAAAGGAAGGGAGGAATGGATGGATGGATGGACGAAAACCTTTACTGCACATGCCTATCTGCTGGGTTAAGTATATAGGCTGATACAGGCTGATACATGTATAATACATAGACTTCATCAGGTTAGCAGTAGTAGTAGCACTATATCTATCAAGCTTGTAATGTCAACATCTCGCTTCTCTGAGATGACGAAAAGGTAAGAACAGACATGTTTTAGCATCACAGGTTTGTCTAAGGTCATTAGAAATGTGAATGTGCTAATATATTCTGTACCAGACATTGTCATTGGATCCCCCGGTCTTGTCTTGCAGATTACCCCCGAGTCGTGAATGTGCGCGCAGAGTGGCACGTCTCCCCAGTCTCCGCGCTCACAGTCCGTCAGACGCTCCTCGGTCCCGGTACATCTCAGCGTGTCCAGCCAGATCCGGCCCGTGCCTTGGCCGAAATGGGCTCTGTAGTATATTATTAATAAATGTTTTTTTATTGTCCAAACAGTACCCGTGCAGTCGCAGCCTTTATGCGGCTGAATTGATGCAGGGTATCACATATTGTTAAGTATAGCTCACTGCAGGCTTATACATGTATAATACATAGACTTGATCAGGTTAGCACTAGGAGCACTATATCTATGAGGAGGGTCAGCATGGGGGTTAGTGATTACGAATTACGCGAAAATTTTCACCGCCAATTACGAATTACGTTTTCGATTCTTAATAACGATGCGTGACGACTCCTGCTGGGGGTCATTATGATCCGTACGGTGACAGGGAAGTTGTTCACAAAATATGAGCGTAAGTATGAGCTGAAAACATCTAGAAGCAATTGTTCAAAGTGCTCTGGATTGAGCAAATCTATTTCGGGCGCTGTTAGCTAAATTATGAGATTGAGTTACCTTAAATCAGGGGGTACTTTATGGATTACGTTTTACTTTGCAGAAAGGTAACTGCCTACGCTTTACGTAGAATGAAAACGACCAATTACGTGTTAGGCCACACCAAGTAAATTTTATGGATGACGTTCTCGCGCGCATTGATTTTGGCCTGTTCCTAGAAAAAAACCCAAGAAATTCCGCTTCCTGTAACTATGACCAAAGAGTCACAACAGTGCCGAAAATCGTTAGATTGACGTGAAACCCGTAACGCCGAAAGCCTGTGCCTGGTTAAAAAAATGTTTTTGGAACTATTAACAGACAGGACGGTCCTGTCAGCAGTGCAATATTTCTTATCTAGGCATCTTGTTTTTAGGGCCCTTCTTGTTTCTTTTTCGCCCTCTCGCATTAGATTTAGGGTCTCCAAAGGACGTCATCCATAAAATTTACTTGGTGTGGCCTTACGGCTAATGTACTGATTACGAATTACGTTATGATCTTGGGTGACTGCCTACGGATTACGAAGACTTGAAAGGCCTGATTTAAAACGCCTTACGAAAAAGTGGGTCTGTCGGCCCCCGGGTAGCCCAGCTGCCGGCACGCCACGTGAGCGTCCTCCAGGCTCCAGCCCGAGTGGCACACCGTCCCCCACTCCCCGGCATGGAACACTTCCACTCGGCCCTCGTGCGGACCGCTGCCGCCCACCAGACGCAGGTCTGAGGACATAGAACCACACATAGATCAGGAGAGCCGCACCTTATGTACGTGAATATAGATCCAATCACACTTAGTAATTACTGTTTACATCCCTTTCTTAGAGTACAAAACTGGTGTGTTACGCTTAAAGTTGGTTAACAAACAAACAAACAAACACAATCAATGCTTACTTTTGGTCTATACCAGACTTTCTTGCTAACTTGAGTTCTAAGTCCTCGTGTATATTTGCAGCTCGTTATGAGTCCCCATTTAACGAACTTGTATCTCATTGTGCATAACGCCGTTTGAGCTACCTGAATCAAGTGAATGCCTCAACCAGTGGGTGGGGCGACGAGTTGTAGTTGTGGGAACCTTAGTTGCAGGTGGGTCAGTAGTAGGTGGGTGTGTTGTAGGTGGGTCAGTTGTAGGTGGGTCGGTTGTAGGTGGGTCGGTTGTAGGTGGGTCAGTTGTAGGTGGGTCGGTAGGTGGGTCAGTTGCTACTGACTGTCCACATGAACACTGAGGGAATAAAACTATGTATGTTAACATTTTGTCATTTCAGAAAACGGTACGAAGAAATTATACCGGAGGACGCGCACACACAAACACACACACACATACACACAAACACAAGGTCATTCTGAAGCTCTTTGCCCTGACCTGAACAGCTTGCTTGAGAGTCGTGCCATGCGCCTGTAAGGTTGTAGCCAGGTTGTCCAGTTTGTCCAGTACTTGGGCCAGGCAACCTTCCAGTTCCCTGTTCTTCTCTCTCTCGTCCGACAGTTGATCAGTCAGACTGTCTAAAAGTGAAACAAACTTCGACTCTTGTGCCAGCAGTGCCTGTGTGAAGTTCTGCTGCAGTTGGCTACTTCTATCCTGCTCGTCCAGAAGCCGGTTGGTTAGAGTCCATACTTTGGCCTGGAGGCTTGCCTCTCGATCTAGTACCTCCTGTGTAACGGTTTTCTCAGATCCTGGCCCCCTACCGGCCTCGTCTGGAACCTCACCAGATCTCACCAGTGCTCGGGCGGTACCGTGATCTCGTTGCGCCCGGGCATAGCAACTTCCAGAAAAAAGGAAGACGGCTAGCAGTAACTTACCCACCACCATCTTTGCAAAATATTCAGTGCAGCGACTGGTTGACTTTTGATCCACCCGTGTTTGGATATTGCTGATGTATTATTTACTTGTTATCATCTGCATGTATAGCTAGATAACAACCCTATGGGCTCACGTCACATGATGTTAAGGGTTTTTTAGGGTTACGCTAACCCTAATTTACCTAATTTGGGGTTAGCTAGGGTTGGTACCCAAATAATAGTTGTCCAATATGAGTTTTATATCAACAAAGGAGAGTTATTTGCATAATTACTCGAACGAGGTAGTTTAAGAGTTGTTACGTGGCAGTTTATAGAAAATGACCAGGCCTTATGGCACCATGTACACCTCTGTGCGGGTCATTAACCCTTAATTACATCTGTTTAACAATGTTTGCACCAAAGGTTCAAAGGCAAGTTAAATTCCAATCTTCTACTTGTATTGAAATGAACTTTTACAGCATTTTCTCGTTTTTCTGCCAATAAGGTCCCGATTTGGTTTGGTTTATTAAGACTTCCTTAGTGAATACAATCACAAGTCGTCCTGGGGTGCACTAAAAAATTTGGGCCTGCATGCCCTTCTTCGTAAGGCGTAATCAGGCATTTTTAAAGTTCTTAATCCGAAGGCAACCTCCCCAAAAATCAAGTTGAACGTAGTTCGTAAAAGTACATTAGCAGCAAGCTAAAGTCGTATTATCAGATCACTATCCCCCATGCAGGCCCTCAAAAATATAACAACGGGATGTACTAAATATTATGCTCACTGCATAATCATTTTGCCTGAGTAGCAGATACCAGTACTGCGTCCTATGACCTTGACCCCCTCTCAACCTTGACCACTGACCCTTGAACCATGTTCATGTTACGATCAATACTTCCGGCTGCCACGCAAGTCATGTAACAATACACTGTACGTGTAAGAGTACTGTAAATGTAAAGTGCAACGAGCAAATATACGAGACCAGTTGGACATGTATCTTCTCAAATCTTTAATAAGCATTTCCTCAACGGCTCATAATTCATGGTTATAACACTACGGGTGGCACAAGCGAAGATGGTGGATTGTGGTCCAACCAGTCGTGTCGTGTACCTTCTGTCGGTGATTTTCTCGCTGTGGCTTCAAATCTGGGGCAAGAAGACTCTTAAATTCGTCAGCCTGGTAGGTTTACGTTGTTTGTTATGACTATGAGCAATTGTCCCATGATCACAACTATCGGAGGTCATAGCTTGATGTATATATGGGTGAGTGTTTGTATGTGTGTGAGTGTGTGTACATGTGTGTGTGCGTGTGTCTGTGTGTGTGTGCGTGTGTGTGTGCGTGCGTGTTTGTGCGTCTCTCTCTCTTCCTCTCTCAGTGTTTGCTACTATGTTCATGTGAAACTGTCTTAGGTTTGAACCCCCTTGAACTTGTTGTACCTGTCGACTATCAGTAGAAATGATCGTTCAGCTGACAATCCGGTCCATGTTTCCATTTCCAACGTTCCAGGTATATCGGCATGGAGACAGGTCTCCGAATAACGTGTACGGAAATGATACCAACACAGAAGACACCTGGCCTCAGGGGTTCATGCAGCTGAGTCAGGTAATAAGGTATATTACACGGGCATGGTTTCCATTCTTAAAACCCTTGTCCTGCTGGCATTCCTGGCACAATATTTTTCACTAATTTCATGTCTTAGATTAGATCATAGACCCCCTTTCGCTTTAACTCTCGTGGCTATTATGACTAATAGTATGCAATTCGATTAATTAAGATACCGTACTGACTCCTGTCCTCATGAGAAGTTAAGTTGGATGAAGAGAAACAGTCTACAAACATCTGCAATGAAGAGTGCCCCAGTTCCCTACCTGGCCCGACACTAACTCTTTACTCACGCGATTAAAACATGGGCTGCACTTTCTGCAAGTATTCGAAACGCACTTTTTAAGGGAACAGTCATACACTAGGTTAGTACTGCGGGATCTGGGATCGAGGTCCCCCCCCAGGTCGCTGTTTTAGAGGAATACTCTGATAAAAAAAAGATTCTTGACAACAGTTTCTTCTGCAGATTAACCACATACTTACTGGGAGCGTCGTGACGGTATC